ATATTGTAAGTCTAAATATTAGAAAACGTATCTCCCAGCATTTTTGGCCACAATTAGCCTAAGCAGCTCACTGTCTTCCATATGTATCGTGGGAGAATTATGTCAAATAGCTTCCTCCATGTAACCCACGCGTGTCAAACTGGTGGCCCTCCAGCTGTTGCCAAACTACAAGTCCCATGAGGCAATGCAAGACTGAAAAGTTACAAACATGACTCCCAAAGGCAGAGGCATGATGGGACTTGTAGTTTCGCAACAGCTGGAGGGCCGCCAGTTTGACACCCCTGATGTAACCTGTCCAGCTATCCTCAACTATACAGGACACAAACCCTAATTAAATTTTTAATTCCAAAATTCCTCCAGTACAGTTTTTTCTTGATGTTTGCACTACTGAGTGCACAATCTAGCAGAAAAGAACTATAATGTGGTCAGTAATTAAACAAAGCAGCAGAAAGGTTTTCTCTCTCAAGCACCTGTATTGTCCGTGATACTTTTTTTATTTGCACTATTGTTTCTGCCATAAATGCACTAATACGGCTACAATCACCTCAAGCACCTGTATTAGAATTCTGTATCTGTACAGATGCCTCTTCTGGTCTCTATCACATTTTCAATAGTTATAGTGGTGAGTAAAGGCACTTTTTCAGGAAGGCTGACTTGAAATACATTATTGATGCAATACTTCTTAGGTTTTTTTAATACAAGGATCAAAATAGGCAAGTGGCCAGAGGTACATCGTTATACTACTATATACATCTATGCTGCTTTACCTTACATTAATTACTGACAAAACCCTAATTTCTTTGTTGTTTTTGACCCAGTGCCATGTGATTGTTGTGACCAACCACAGCAGTACTCAATGGCTGCATGAATGCTACTGAAAAGTGTCAGAAATGATTGCTTACACAGCCATCATGACTGTATAAGCAATTACAGTTTAAAAAAGTTTTTGTTTTTTTTTTTTAAAACCCAATCATCCTCCACCCTACAGCAGTACTGCTCTGGTGACAGTATGGGGTTGATTTACTAAAACTGGGCAGTGAAAAATCTGGTGCAGCTCTGCACAGAAACCAATCAGCTTCCAGGTTTTTTTGTCAAAGCTTAATTGAACAAGCTGAAGCTAGGAGCTGATTGGCTACCATGGACAGCTGCACCAGATTTTGCACTCTCCAGTTTTAGTAAATCAACCCCTACATGTCCGGTGACAGTACAGTGTCCCTAATCTTCCCACCCACTCACAGTGTCTTTTATCATCACTGCACCAGTCACAATATCCCTGATCACCGCCACACCAGTCCCAGTGTCCCTGATCCCCGCCACACCAGTCCCAGTGTCCCTGATCACTGCCACACCAGTCCCACTGTCCTGATCATTGACCATTCCCAGTGTCCCTGATCATTGTCCACACCAGTCCCAGTGTCCCTGATCATTGCCACACCAGTCCCCAGTGTCCCTGATCATTGCCACACCAGTCCCAGTGTCCCTGATCACTGCCACACCAGTCCCAGTGTCCCTGATCATCGCCATATCAAAGTGCAACCCCAAGGGACTTATTTACATGTGCAATGCTATCTGAAAAGCCATCTGTGTTCAGAAGTCTATTCAAAGAGCATTTGACAGGCAGTGAGATTATATAGCCTCCTCACCACCTGCTTTAACCCCTTGGAACCTGCACAAACACCCTCATACACTTAAAAGAGTCATGACCAATGGGTGTAAGCAAAGCATCGCTGCTGCAGTATGTGTACACCGCCAGCCGCTGCCTCTGCAGCTAAAGGGGGTCGAGGTAAAACCTTGTGGCTGAGCTGTGGTTTTACTGCTCCCCAACCTCACATGTGAACAAGCCCCAATAGTGCAGCCAATCACAGTTCTCAAATCACCATTACAGCAGCCATAGTGTTGCCAGACCAGTGTAGCTAGAATCAGTGTTGATTGCCACAACACCAGACCAGTACAGCAAGCAATAGTTTTTCTGATCACCACCACATCAGTCTCAGTTTTCCGAATCACTGACACACCAAACCAATGTATGTCAGCAACAGGGTTCCTCAAACACTGCCACACTAGACACAGTGTCACCCCACCTTTCTAAGTTAGTATGGTGTTCCTGATTGTTGTCAGATCAGTCTCACTGTCATCAGCCAGTGTGGGCCAGCAACAGTGTTCCTTATCGCTGCTGCACAAGTCCCACTGTCACCTGACCAGTAAAATCAGCAACAGTGTTCCTTATCGCTGCTGCACAAGTCCCACTGTTACCTGACCAGTAAAATCAGCAACAGTGTTCCTTATCGCTGCTGCACAAGTCCCACTGTTACCTGACCAGTAAAATCAGCAACAGTGATTCCTTATCGCTGCTGCACAAGTCCCCTGTTACCTGACCAGTAAAATCAGCAACAGTGTTCCTTATCGCTGCTGCACAAGTCCCACTGTTACCTGACCAGTAAAGTCAGCAACAGTGTTCCTGATCACCGCCACATTAGTGTAATGCTGCCTCTGCCTGCCACCTGTACAAATCCTGGCCTGTTCATTGACCACTTTCTGCCTGCTGCCTGTTCCTTTGCTGTTTGCTGACCATGTCCCTGAGTGCCGCCTAAACTGACCCATCTGCCTGGCAAACTGACTATGTTCTTCTGAGTCGCCAGTCTCAGCCATACCCTGCAGACAACTGCACTCCTGGAACCACAGGAACTTTTTTGTTCTTCCTTTCTTCAGCCTCTTGTATTTCCTAACCAGTGAGCATGGTATTCCTAGGACAACCAAGTACATGTAGGTATGCTTGGCTTACAGGAACAGGGATTGCTATAAGTGATGCTACACTAAGCCGTTCCCTGACCACGCATACAGAGGCAACCATTACAGTACATTTGTTGTGATGCTATTGGTTGATTTGTATGATACACAATATATAATGTTCAGTACAAAATCAGTCCAGACACTGAAAAAAAGTCCCACACATGTGGTATTGCCATACAAGTAGTAGAATGTGTTTTAGGTTTTCATTCAGTATGCCCATGTTGTGTGTGATAAATATCTTATTAAATGACAACTTTGTGTAAATTATTAATTTCATTTTCTTTCCACATTTTCCAACAACTTGATGCAAAAAATAAGTCTTCAAAAGACTTATCATGCCTCTTAAAAAAATACCTTGGGGTGTTTACTCTCCACTGTCCTGGTGATCCAAGGCCTCCAAAAATGTGATAGTTAGTCAGGAAATTAGATGCGTAATTTATGCCCATAAAAAGCCTTAAGGTGGCTCCTTGGATTTTGGTCTTTATGTGGTTAGGTTGTGAAAAATGTCTCACGTGTGATATCATCACACTTGGAAGGAGTAGCAGAATGTGTTTTGGGGTGTAATTTTAAATAAGCCTATGGTGTGTTAGAAATATCTTATTAATTGACAACGTTGTGTTAAAAAAAAAAAATTATAATTTTCATTCCGCATTTTCCCAAAACGTATTCCAAAAATTAAATCTTCAAGCTAGTCAGGAAATTAGATGCGTAATTTATGCCCATAAAAAGCCTTAAGGTAGCTCCTTGGATTTTGGGACTCTTTATGTGGTTAAATTGTGAAAAATGTCTCACATGTGATATCATACTCGGAAAGAGTAGCAGAATGTGTTTTGGGGTGTAATTTTAAGTAAGCCTATGGAGTGTTAGAAATATCTTATTAATTGACAACGCTGTGTTAAAAAAAAAATTCATTTTTATTCCGCATTTTCGAGAAACGTATTGCAAAAAATTAAATCTTCAAGCTAGCCAGGAAATGAGACGTGTAATTTATGCCCCTGGAATGCCTGAAGGTGCTCCATGGATTTGGGGCCTCTCTAAGCATATAGGCTGTAAAAGAGTCTCACACTCATGTGCTATCCCCATACTTAGGAGGCATAGCAGAATGTGTTTTAGATTATAATTTTAAGTATGCTTATGCTGTGTGTGATAAATAGTTTGTTATATTTACAACTTTGTGCAAAAAAAACAAGTTAATGTCTTAATTTTCCAAAAAATCGTGACAAAAAAATTACAACCTCCAAAACTCACCATGCCTCTTACTCAATACCTTTGACTTTTCAAAAAGGAGTCATTTGGGGGGGTATCTACTGTCCTGTACTGTCCTGGCATTTTAAAGCCTTAAGAAATGAGAAAGGCAGTTCGTATATCAGGACTGATCAATTTTCAAATACATATACCATAATTTGCAGACTCTATAGACTTTCTCACAGACTAAATAATCAACACTGATTTGAGCAGAATGCATTTTTATGACAAAATTTGATTTTTAAACTTTTTTTTTAACTGGACATGTTTAATAGCAAAAAGTAAAAAATATTGTTTTTTCTTTCTCAAAATTGTCAATCTTTTTTTAGCGCAAAAAATAAAACCAGCACAGGCGATCAAATACCACCAAAGGAAAGCTCAATTTGTGGGAAAAAAAGGGCATACATTTCATTTGGGTGCAGCGTTGCATGACTGCGTAATTGTCAGTTAACCTCCATAGCGGTCTGATTATGTCCATATTTCTGTGCTCCAAGCGGTACATTTTTTTGCATGGAAATATGTATTTTTTTTATTGTAGGCCTGTAATGTTAAGAAATAACTCACTGAAATCTGTCCGAACAAGAGTCTAGTAAACATCCCGGGTATGTTAAAATTTGAAACACGAAATCATAAATTATAATTTAATAAACAATAATATAATAATAAATTTAATTCAATAATATAATCAAACCAAAAACACTGACATTTGAAATATTATGCCAAGTTCGCACATCACTGAGCAAAGTCGAAAAATCGTTTTCAGTGTCTGATGACGAATTTCCCCACGAATCATTATCACTCAATTCTGCAAGTAGTTCTAATTTACTATCGCTGTTCTCTAGTTGGTCTAAAACCGATTTTGACCTAAAGGGACGCTTTTTGGATGCCATGGACGTTTCTCAGTTTCCAGGCAGAAAGAACAGTAAAAATGGAGACAGGGCACAGGACAAAGCACTCGGGACAAAATGTATGTGAAATGGTTTGATACAGTAATAATATTTTACTATGTTATTTTAGTGAATTTAGTGAATGTCACTTTTTGTCATTTTCAAATTTCCCGCTGTTTCCGTCCTGACATCACAGGTGACGGAACCCAGAAGACAGATGCCGGCATCCGCCAGAGGACATTACAGAGGACACTGCAGGAGGGACATCGCGGGAGCGCAGGACAAGGTAAGAGAAGAACAGATCCCGGAGCAGCGCTACATGCCATGGTAAGCCCGAGTGTAGCTCGGGGGTTACCGCTTGTGGTACTGAAACTTTACCCCGAGCTACACTCGGGAATACCGCCAGGGAGGTTAAAGTAACGCAGCGCCGTAACACAAAAATGGCCTGGTCGGGAAGGGGGGTAAATCCTCTGGAGGGCAAGTGGTACACAAAGAAATGTAGCAGAATAACATTTTGGCCTAAATGTATGAAAAATTATTTTTTACTTGCAAAATTTAGATTTTTTTCTTTAAGTTTTGGTCTTTTTTAGTTTATATAGCAAAAAATGAAAAAAACAAAACAGAAGCAATTAAATATCACCAAAATAACCCTTTATGAGTCTAAAAAAAAAAAAATGATTGGGTACAGTCATTGTCATTCAAAATGTGATAGCACTGGTAAAAATAAATGACCGGAGCAAGAAGAGGGTTCAATCAAACATTCAATCTTTAAGTGCTTAAATTGTACACCACAGCAAATTAAAAGTTGCTGTAAGTACAAAAGTGTGGGCCGAAACAAAAAAAAAAAAAAGGAAGTTAGGGTCCCCTTTAACCTGCTAGAGAATGTCTAAGAAATATCTCATACAAACAAATGAAACAGAACTGAGATAATATTACGGATTATGTACCTTAGCCTGTGACTTAGCATTGACAGAAGTTAACAAAAAGGTTGCTGTAAGGAAAAATTAGCATTGCTCAAAATATATTATGTCAGGGTAAAATGGCAATTTTCTCCAAACATAGAGTTGCGTTGGTGATAAAATAACACAGAACTGCCAAACACAGAAATAATGCCAACAGCATAATAATGATGAATTGACAGCAAATAAACTATAATATGATCAGTGTCATACTAATTATTTTATGAACGGATAAGAAAAATGTAAACTCAGAAATCATCAAGGAAAAAGCCTGATCTGTCAGTGTGACCACTTTTACGTCTGCAGACATCACACAAGCCAGTCAGTCTCAGATTGTGAATTCACACCTGAAAGTCACAGATTTCAAGCATAGAAAAATAAGTGGGATAGGATTTAAACATGTTACCAGCTTCCGACACTGTGAGTCTGGTATGTGAACGTGCAGACTCGCAGCAACGGGTTCAAGCCAAAGATGAAAAGTGTGAAAAAAAAAAAAAAGAAAAAGAAAAAACTGTGTCTAAAACTGGCGCATATGATAAACTGCAGTTCTACAAAAACTTGCTAAGTAACTTGTAAAGATTTGCATTTATTATCCATTATATCTTAAATGAGTGGAATTCATTGACTTTTCTACCATGTAATAAAAAAAATTAATTTGTTTAATAAGATTGCATTACATAATGTTATTTCTAAAATTAAGTTTCTCATCTTTTCAGAAACCCTGTAGTACAGTGAGAGCCCTACACTGCTTTTCCCTGTAGTACAACGAGAACACTACATTGCTTTTCCTTGTAGAAAAGCGAGAATTTTACACTGATTTTCCGTGCAGTACAGCGAGATCCCTACACTGCTTTTCCTTGTAGCACAGCGAGAACCCTACACTGCTTTTTCCTTGTAGCACAATGAGAACCCTACAATGCTTTTTGCTGTAGCACAATGAGAACCCTACAATTCTTTTTGCTGTAGCACAGTGAGAACCCTACACTGCTTTTCCTGCAGCACAGCGAGAACCCCACACTGCTTTTCCCTGCAGTACAGTGAGAACCCCACACTGCTTTTCCCTGCAGTACAGCGAGAACCCTAAACTGCTTTTCCCTGCAGTACAGCGAGAACCCCACAATGCTTTTCCCTGCAGTACAGCGAGAACCCTACACTGCTTTTCCCAGCAGTACAGCGAGAACCCTACACTGCTTTTCCTTGTAGCACAGCGAGAACCCTACACTGCTTTTCCCAGCAGCACAGCGAGAACTCTACACTGCTTTTCCTTGTAGCACAGCAATAACCCTACACTGCTTTTCGCTGTAGCACAGTAAGAACCCTACACTGCTTTCCTGCAGTACAGCGAGAACCTACACTGCTATTCCTTGTAGCACAGCGAGAAACCCTACACTGCTTTTTGCATGTAGTACAGCGAGAGCCCTACACTGCTTTTTGCTGTAGCACAGCGAGAACCCTACACTGCTTTTTGCTGTAGCACAGCGAGAACCCTACACTGCTTTTCCCTGCAGTACAGCGAGAACCCCACACTGCTTTTCCCTGCAGTACAGCGAGAACCCTACAATGCTTTTCCCTGCAGTACAGCGAGAACCCTACACTGCTTTTCCCTGCAGTACAGCGAGAACACACACTGCTTTTCCCTGCAGTACAGCGAGAACCCCACACTGCTTTTCCCTGCAGTACAGCGAGAACCCTACACTGCTTTTCCTTGTAGCACAGCGAGAACCCTACACTGCTTTTCCTTGTAGCACAGCGAGAACTCTACACGGCCTTTCCTTGTAGCACAGCAATAACCCTACACTGCTTTTCGCTGTAGCACAGTGAGAACCCTACACTGCTTTCCCTGCAGTACAGCGAGAACCCTACACTGCTATTGCCTGTAGCACAGTGAGAACCCTACACTGCTTTTCCATGTAGTACAGCGAGAACCCTACACTGCTTTTTACTGTAGCACAGTGAGAACCCTACACTGCTTTTTGCTGTAGCACAGCGAGAACCCTACACTGCTTTTCCCTGCAGTACAGCGAGAACCCCACACTGCTTTTCCCTGCAGTACAGCGAGAACCCTACACTGCTTTTCCCTGCAGTACAGCGAGAACCCTACACTTCTTTTCTCAGCAGTACAGCGAGAACCCTACACTGCTTTTTCCTTGTAGCACACAGCAAGAACCCTACACTGCTTTTTCCTTGTAGCACAGCGAGAACCCTACACTGCTTTTTGCTGTAGCACAATGAGAACCCTACACTGCTTTTTGCTGTAGCACAATGAGAACCCTACACTGCTTTTTGCTGTAGCACAGTGAGAACTCTACACTGCTTTTCCTTGTAGCACAGCGAGAACCCCACACTGCTTTTCCCTGCAGTACAGCGAGAACCCTACAATGCTTTTCCTGCAGTACAGCGAGAACCCTACACTTCTTTTCTCAGCAGTACACAGCGAGAACCCTACACTGCTTTTCCTTGTAGCACAGCAAGAACCCTACACTGCTTTTTCCTTGTAGCACAGCGAGAACCCTACACTGCTTTTTGCTGTAGCACAATGAGAACCCTACACTGCTTTTTGCTGTAGCACAATGAGAACCCTACACTGCTTTTTGCTGCTGTAGCACAGTGAGAACTCTACACTGCTTTTCCTTGTAGCACAGCGAGAACCCTACACTGCTTTTTGCTGTAGCACAATGAGAACCCTACACTGCTTTTTGCTGTAGCACAGTGAGAACCCTACACTGCTTTTCCCTGCAGTACAGCGAGAACCCCACACTGCTTTTCCCTGCAGTACAGCGAGAACCCCACACTGCTTTTCCCTGCAGTACAGCGAGAACCCTAAACTGCTTTTTTTCCCAGCAGTACAGCGAGAACCGTACACTGCTTTTTCCCAGCAGTACAGCAAGAACCCTACACTCCTTTTCCCTGCAGTACAGCGAGAACCCTACAATGCTTTTCCCTGCAGTACAGCGAGAACCCTACAATGCTTTTCCTTGTGCAGTACAGCGAGAACCCTACACTGCTTTTCCTTGTAGCACAGCGAAAACCCTACACTGCTTTTCCTTGTAGCACAGCGAGAACCCTACACTGCTTTTCCTTGTAGCACAGTGAGAACCCTACACTGCTTTTCCCTGCAGTACAGCAAGAACCCTATACTGCTTTTCCCTGTAGTAAAGCGAGAGCCCTACACTGCTTTTCCCTGTGGTACAACGAGAACACTACATTGCTTTTCCTTGTAGAACAGCGAGAACTGTGCACTGATTTTCTGTGCAGTACAGCGAGATCCCTACACTGCTTTTCCTTGTAGCACAGCAAGAACCCTACACTGCTTTTTGCTGTAGCACAGTGAGAACCCTACACTGCTTTTTTTTGCTGTAGCACAGTGAGAACCCTACACTGCTTATTGCTGTAGCACAGCGAGAACCCTACACTGCTTTTCCCTGCAGTACAGCGAAAAACCCTACACTGCTTTTCCCTGCAGTACAGTGAGAACCCTAAACTGCTTTTCCCCTGCAGTACAGCGAAAACCCTACACTGCTTTTCCCTGCAGTACAGCGAAAACCCTACACATGCTTTTCCCTGCAGTACAGCGAAAACCCTACACTGCTTTTCCCTGCAGCAGTACAGCGACAAACCCTACACTGCTTTTTCCCTTGTAGCACAGCGAAACCCTACACTGCTTTTTGCTGTAGCACAGCGAGAACCCTACACTGCTTTTTGCTGTAGCACAGTGAGAACCCTACACTGCTTATTGCTGTAGCACAGCGAGAACCCTATACTGCTTTTCCCTGTAGTAAAGCGAACCCTACACTGCTTTCCCCTACAACGCGAGTACATTGCGATAACCCTACACTGCTTTTCCCTGCAGATCCCTACACTGCGTAGCACAGCAAAACCCTACACTGCTTTTCCCTGCTGTACAGCGAGAACCCACACTGCTTTTTGCTGTAGCACAGTGAGAACCCTACACTGCTTATTGCTGTAGCACAGCGAGAACCCTACACTGCTTTTCCCTGCAGTACAGCGAAAACCCTACACTGCTTTTCCCTGCAGTACAGTGAGAACCCTACACTGCTTTTCCCTGCAGTACAGCGAAAACCCTACACTGCTTTTCCTGTAGTACAGTGAGAAACCCTACACTGCTTTTCCTTGTAGCACAGTGAAACCCTACACTGCTTTTCCCTTGTAGCACAGTGACAAACCCTACACTGCTTTTCCTGTAGCACAGCTAGAACCCTACACTGCTTTTTGCTGTAGCACAGCGAGAACCCTACACTGCTTTTTGCTGTAGCACAGTGAGAACCCTACACTGCTTTTGCTGTAGCACAGCGAGAACCCTACACTGCTTTTCCTGTAGTACACAGCGAGAACCCTACACTGCTTTTCCTTGTAGCACAGCAAGAACCCTACACTGCTTTTCGCTTGTAGCACAGTGAGAACCCTACACTGCTTTTCGCTGTAGCACAGTGAGAAGCCTAC